TATCAGGCTGACAAGCATCGCGTAAACAGCCCGCTATATAGAGACCTGTTGCGTGTGCACCGATGTTATTTACTCGGTAATCGTTTTCACACATGACTTATTTCCTTATTGTCTTGAATGGGTTTTAGCTATTAAGTTTTGTCCATTGTTTCTTTATAAAAAGGCTAATGGCCAAATCGACCGCAATCATATTCGAGGCTAAATCGTTGGCGGTCGAAAGTGCTATCCGTTTTCGTCACATATGAACAAACTTAGGATATAGACCAAGGTTACGAATCCAATTTTGAATAAACAAGTACATGTTACCGGCTGCCACGCTATGTGGTCATTTGAAATCATAATGAAATTAACTAAAGCTCATTATTTGTTCCAGGGTTTAAAAATTACAGCATTCCAATTTAAAAAAAAACAATTGTAAATAGGGTACCATCGAAAGTGAGTCATAGTCATAGGAAATTGATTCAATGGCGTTCCCTGAGGCGACAGTTCTATTATAAGTTGATAATCTACATTCATAGAACTTAAATCTATGAATATATCCGTTGTAAACATTGTATTTACGTATTTCTTGCTATATTCCGTCGCGGTCTATCAGTCAACGGTTTCATAACGAGCTGCGATTTTCCTTTCTCTATCCGTCCTCAAGTTACCTTTTGACATTGGAAATCCAGCCAAGTCTAAGTCGAACCAATCTTATACATTAAATGTACTTGATCTGTTTTAAATCGTTTTTATTTTTATATAAACTGGGACAACTAAAAAGGCCAAGAAACATTTTGTACGGGTAAAGGCTATAATTTTCTAGGTTAAGTTTAAAAACTATAGACTCTGTAACTTTTAAAAAGCAAGAGTGAAAATATAAATACACTAGCTGTTGCACGCGATTTCGCCCGCGTGAAATTAAAAAAATATATAGCCAATGTTACTCATAGATAAATTACCATTCTAATGGTGAAAGAATATTTTTAATCGGCCCAGGAGTTTGTACGTGAATCAAATACATACATAAATACAAATCTACCTTCCTTATAACATTAGTATAGATTACCTCGTGCAAAATTATTGAAACGCAAATCTGACAATAAGCATTTAGTTTTAGGTTAATATAGCCACATTATTATTATTTTTCATATGAACATTGGTGTTTATAACTTTTGCTTGTATTACAATATTAACGTATAACAATTTTGCTTACAAAAGTCAGTAAATTTTTTAAACATTTGCAATTGCTTTATTAACACGAGGAGAATTGTATATCGTTTCAATTGAACGTATAAATTATGTAAACGGGAATCTTCAAATTCCATACGAAGCGTTGTTATTAATCGACTATTATCCACTTTGACGAACGCTATACACATTTCTCAATTCATAAAATAGTTCTCCATTAGGTCATTTAATTATGAAATTGTTTAGCAAAAATAAATGTTTTATGAAAGAAAATTAAAAATGTTTAATAGCATTAAAACAGGAAAAAACAGAACCGTTTTCATTAATTAATTTGGTAGGCGCGGCGAGTACACTCCTAGACTGATTGCCAAAATAAAATCAACTGGTAGTTATAATTTCCGTTTGTTATTATTTACGTTTCAAAGGAGCCTAGTTTTATTGTGGTTTTATCCTCACTTTTTAAGGATCTTTCTCAATATTCGTGTGAATCGTTCGTATGAAAGGAATGCGTATAAACAGGCTTCCACCAAAATAGCTTACATTTCGAAAACGTGTATTGTTTTGTAAATATTGCACTCTCTTATAAGACTTTTCGATTGTTCTTCGGCAGCATTTAAACATAAGTTTCATCTACGTAATAGGAGTTGAAAGCTACAACATTTATATACCAGAAAATTCTTCTTAAATTTTGGGCGCTCAGCTTAAATTGTGGCTTCATGCTACTTAATTAATGTATCCGATAATCTAAGTAGTTGGTGAAGCCTTACTAAAATTTGGAGCTTAACCTAAAGGTAATTGAAAAATTGGCTGGAAGTTAACACCGTAATAAAAAGTATAACACAACTTTCGTCTAACGATATATAGTTGTTTCTCTGTAATGCTCCAATCCAGTAATAATAACGAAGTAAGGGCCCGAGCCGAGGCTCCTGAGGGAGCCATCGAGCTTAGTTACTCATAAACGAGGTTTAGGCTGAGCGCCATCCGCGTTCGGCCACCTCAAGCCCGGTGGATCTGTAAATGTCTCTTCAAGGCAAACAGTGACAACTCAGTCACAAAAAAACTCTGCAATGCAGTGTATTCGCTCGTTTGGTAATCCTACCACGTTACTTGATACTCTCTAAATGTTGATGCTGGTCTCATTTAATTCTTGTTTGTCGTATCCAGAGCGAGCCTGCCTGTACGCACAGCGCGGTTGCTGCAGAGATCACGCACAGCCACACCTGCTGAGAGCGAGGGCAGCACTTCACCTGCGCCGGCGCCTTCGTCCCTGCTGCAAGATGTCGTCGACATCAAGACCTTGTTGCTGCAGCTCAAACGAGTCCTACAGGAGGTAAGATATAAACTCTAAAAGAAGGTACACATTAATGGTTTTATATAAACTTTTATGGAGCAATCAAACCTCGGCTGGAACAAGTGAGTTAATTTTTAACACAATTTGTGAAATTGATGTAAATTAATATGATAGTTTAGCGTATTATTTAGTCAAGAATAATGCTGAATACAGAATATATGTGTGTGATTTTAATTTAATAATATTGCAATACATATTAATGTATCTGATTTGAATAATAATACAATATCGATACCATTTATATAACATCCGGATAAATGTTCTAATTAGCTAATAATTAAAGAGTTTACAACTTCTGGCCAAATTTAATATCTGAGTTTTCTGTAATTGTGATTTGAATTTAATGAATTCCGTTAAATTATTAAATACACACTTATAGCGTGTTAAAAATAGGTTTTTGTATTGTCAAGTTGTCGTTAGAAACAACAGGCACATTTCCCACACGGAGACAGAAAGCTTGGGATCGAGCGCAATTCAGATAACAATCATAACTTGCTTCACACTTATGAGAAGATGAACTTTCGTCCTGTTACAATAGTTTGCACGCGATAGTTTCATTTCCAGTTAATTGAAGCAAATAAGACTGTTACAATAAATAAAACAATTATAATTTTAGACTGAGCATATATTTCAATGACTATAGCAACCAGTAACCAACTGGTATTATATGTATAGGGGACTGTCCCACCAAATCCTTAATTGTCTGATATCAATCCAACAACGTGTAAAATATGTGATGGAAAGATCGGATTTTGTTACCTTATCTGACAGTGACGTCATTTTTAAGCTATCTGAGCCTCTATCAGACAGGCCTTTATGGCCTGACCCAATACAAAAATCGATATTTTTGTTACCTATTTTACACGTTGGTTTGTTATCTGACAATTCACAAGAATTTGGCAGGACTGACTCTAAACATGAGATGTAGACAATAAATATTGATTTTGAAGTAACGTTACTAGTGGAATACCTATCTTAGTTGCATATACATTTGAGGAAAATTCTATCGTAGAATATTAGTAAAACGATTTAAATCAGAATAATAAATTCTTGTTATAATGTTTAGTAGCATTGTAGATTAAATAATGTTGATACTTTTATTATAAATTTTGCATGTGTTTTAATGCATTTTGAATTAATCAGATATATTGTTATTTCGTTAAGAGTTAAGTTTCTGTTTGTAAAATGCCTGATTTGTTTTGAAAGCATTCATGTAATTAGCTTGTTTGCGCAGTTGTTTTTGTTTTTTTTTGTTTCGTAACTTGTTTGTTTGTTTGCATCTCGTTTGGCGCACGCAGCCCGGGGAGGAGCTTCATTCGATGAGTGTAAGTTACATTGCACTGTATTTTATTTTTTAATTTGCATTTTTTATATTATCTTTGTGATAAATTACTTTATTTTGCCTGGCAATTCCACTATTTTTGTATAATTTTTAAGGTAAACAAAGGATTTAAGTAATCCATTTTCTTATAATAGGTATCGCAAGAATCAAATAAGATAGTTTGTAGTTTCCAGGTGACGACATGTCCTTAATTTTATGGTAACTTGGTTAATCTTTTTGATTTTTTCAAATATATGTAATACATAAATATTAATTGTTATTCTTGTTTTGATAATAGTTCACTCTAAATTACTAAAGTTATTATTTGTTGAAGTTGAATTTCAACTATTATAAAGGAATGATTTTAAATATTTTATTCTACAATAAGAAATAACAAAACCATTCTATTTGTTAGATAAAATTATATTCAATAGGCGACGTGTATTTTAGTCATGTTATTCAACTATAAACTTAAACATAATTCTTCGTAGTTTGTGTTTGTTTGTTTGTTTGTAACCGCAATATTATCCTAAAATAATAACGACGTAAACTTTAACATTTACCTTGAAAGCATTATGTTATATAAGTTAATGTAAATGTTACGTTATAATGGAAGAAGTTTGTTTAGTATCGAAAACTTTAGTACATCCATCAATGTTACTTAGCTTAGTCAAGGCTTAGCTAATAAAACTTAGTAGAACTGCTAGAAGAAAAATACTAAATTTACTGCTAAACTAGTTTGTTTAATTAATTTATTACTAGCTTTCGCCTGCGACTCTATCCGAATTAAAAAAAGTAAAAGCGAGTAGTCTATATGTTCTTCCAGACTATCCTCTACGTCTAAGCCAAATTCGAGATCCGTTAAGCCGTTTAGACTTTGTAGTATATAATATGTAACTATATGTATAAGTAAGTACAACCTCTAACAATCATCCATCCATATAAACTTTCTCCTCTTTACTAATATTATAAAGAGGAAAGATTTGTATTTTTGTATGTATTGAAATAACTCAGAAACTACTGGGGCGATTTTAAAAATTCTTTCACCGTCGGAAAGGTAATTTATCTGTGAGTGACATAAGCTATATTTTTTAATCTCACGCGGGCGAAATAGCGAGCAACAGCTAGTTTATTATATAAGTAGATGTAAAAAAATATCTACATATTATCGAATTATTCGGACATTTTTTTACAAGCTAGTTTTATTTCTGCTAACACTAACGATAAACTTTGTGTCTAATAAATTATTTAGCAATGAAATAACTTAAATCGAACTACTTTTCATTATCTGTCCAAATACGTATTAAAGGCCATCGGTGGGCGTTTAACGAGCATCATCAGATATTATGGACTTTGGTCTTGATGACGCACAAATACGAATGAATTACAAACAGAGAGATTGTTTAATTGCCACAAGCTGCATATAACATTCAATCGTGGCATGTTTAATTGGAATTAATAAACGTTTGAATTATTTGCCAATGTAATATATTATTGTCTGTTTCTTGGTATCTAGCGATCATAAATTATTTATAGTTAATATTTCGGATCCTTTTTTCGTAACAATAATCATTAAGCTATTAGTTCTATTTCAAATGTTTGTAAAAATATAGTGCTTTAGTTATAAAGTGATTGTTACAGTTACATGTCCCATTAGCTACGAAATATCGATATGTTAAAATTACTTACGATAAGAGCGGGCGCAGACCTTTGACTAAATAATCGCACAACTCGTGCGATTGTCGATTGTTTCGCAGCCAATTTAACTATTCAGTTGCACTAAACATCGAATATAAGCTCATAGCGAGTCAAAGCAAGACTAAACAGTTATGCGATAGCATAGTTTCAGGTGTGCGCACACTCTAACCGTTTTGGTAGGCATCCTTTCTGTATTTTTAAGAGATTTGTACTAAGAACTTTGATTTATGTGGTCGTTGTACATTTCAGAGCGAAACTCTCGACCCGTTGCTGGCGGCGTGCGCGGAGAGCCCCGCGCGCGGCAACGGGCGCCGTCC